TCTTAAATACTGAACAACAGAATGAAAAGCAGCTTTTAGCTTCTGAATTTGGTCTCATATAACAAAAGGTAAACAGGACAAAAGGAAGAGGCTATTTCCAAAGACACTGAAGTACACTCTACCTTAATAATGGTGATTTTTCAGGAATGAGATTGGCAGCTTCTGTAGTGCGCTGGTGCAGTAACAGTGCATCTTCTGCAGAGAAGCTTGGGTTACTAAGCCAGTCTAACTCTGTAGGTAAAAAAAGTGTGAGATCAATACAAATTAGCTGGCTGTGCTTTTTTAAGCTGGGGGTTATTCTAGTCAGCAGACAGTTAAATTCACAGCAAATGTCACAAGTCATGTGCAATAACTGACCATACTGGAAAGCACTCAATGAAATTTCCATTTAACTCATACTGAAAGCAGATTCCATGTTTAATACACAGCTCTATTACATTAAAAAAGAATCTATCCAACACTCATTTTTATGATTTAAAAGTTCTAACTTCATATATTTATAGACTGTATAAATTTGTTATATATGTATAAGATAATCTACTGTATTATAATATATTTACTACTATATATAAATTATACATTAATTTCTATATACAATATAGAATAGAAATATTTACATATTTTAAAAATTAAATTTTAAAATTACAGAAAAGTGTAATTAAACAAAAGGTACAGTTAACGAATGCAATAAAGCTTATACAAACTTACAAAAGTGTACTTTACTGACTGTGTGGAAAATATTCTTAGCACAGTTTTATTGATAGGCACATCCATTACTGATAAGAATACTCAAGTGTTTTATACATGGCCAAAACATGGCACTGGATTCTCAGTTCTCTAACCACTGAACTATCATTAGACCTTTCAACAGTGTTAAAGAAAGCTATTTGATGCTAATTTGGATACACTAGTCAGCATTAAGCATTCTGCATCTAAATCACCAGATAAGATCAGACATGGACAGAACATGGAAGGGAAACTTTTTGTCACCATTTTACTGATATTAAAAGTGTCATAACGATTTTCAGAGTTTTCATTTCTAGAATTCCTTTAAGCATGTGAAACTTCTTAGCTATCAAACAACAGAAGTTATTTTGCATAAATAGAGAACTCAACAGCAGTCCCTCCAGTGCCACATTGACAGAGATAACACGAGGAATAAATTTGGTCTCCCTGCCTCTCCTCCATGCTCTTTATGATCAATTTTGCCTCAGTGTTCTTCCTGTCACACTCCTGTCTTTGTGCTCTTGACTACACTGACCTCTACTCCTTAAACAGCAAGAATTCATTGTCTGTCAAGCCATATATCTCTCTTCCATTTAAAGTATTTCTTTCAGAAACAGAATTTTGGTATGAAAAGCTTTCTTCTGTCTCATGTCCCTGAGCTGTCGTCCACAAAAGGATTTAAAGTAGAGTAGGCTGCAGAACAGTTTGTTAACCTAAGTTAAACATATCAAGAAATACATCAAATAAAGCAAAGCTACAGTTCATGTTTCCCAAGAGTCCACCCCCACTACAAAAGGCCCCATGAGGAGTGATCACCTCCCTGGCTCTTGACCCTCCATCTCTGTGCATGGGAGAATCCACAATTCATGGCACTCTCAAGACCGAAACACACTTCCCATGACCAGCCCAACCAATGTGCTGCAGAACACCACCATGCACCATTTCCCTGCTCCTGTAGCTTGGTTCTACCTGAACAGGCAAGATCAAACTGCATTTTAATGCATTGAAGAATCACTCAAGCCCTGTGGCACAGTCAATACACCTCTGTGGCTACAGCAGGGAAGTTCAGAATCCCCCAAGTACAGTATCTTCTGAAGAATTTAACCAAACTGATCTAACACTCAGAAAGAAATGAGCAATTTTTGCCATTATGCAACATGCAGGTTCAAACTGCTTGTAAATAATCTCAAGTGAATCAGTTAGCTGGATGCAAGCATTTCAAACATCACAATGCACTGCAAACACTATCTCTTCACTTGTTAGGCTTTTTTCTTGTGGAATGCCTAAGAAGTTTATAATTTTTACAGAGCAGATATAAAATACCTACTTTTCAATAACATGCATGTACTTGTTACATGTTTATGAGCAGCAGTAATCCAATGACATTCTCTTTATACCTCCTCAAGCAAAAAGAAAAATTAAGAATTTACAGTGCATGTCTACAGAGACAATTTTTAAGTGTTACATGAAGCCTTTTCTTGCCTCTCAGGATCCTGAGAATCTGCTTTCAGCAAAATTTTCTGCATCATCTGACCTACAGCACAGTTCAGCCTGCAAATAACGCTTATTAATATCAGCAGGGTTACTTATCACCACTGCTCTCATCATGGCTACAGATAAATTCACAATTTATCTTCCACCAAACATGCTTATTAATGTCAGCAGGGTTACCACTGCTCTCATCATGGCTACAGATAAATTCACAATTTATCTTCCACCAAACACTAATTAAGCTTGACAACATAATTACATCGAAGCATATAGAAAATTGCAGCACTCTAGAGGCTGCTGCAACTCAGCAACTGGGCAGCATAGGAAGCGTAAACACCGCTTCTGTTTCTGTTTCAGACAGCACTTCCACTTTAGAAATGGTTTAGGAAAGTTTTGAAAAGTATGAGAAGAGTTGTTGGCTGCATGAAACATGACCATATATACATTATATATACTTCAACTTTTACAGTAAAGCTATGAAGCAGTCCTAAATGTCTGTTAAAAGCACCCTTAGTTTTACATAACATTAAAATCAAAATACTCTGGGATCTCTGTATTATGATGCACTTTGGCTTCACATCAGGTCTGAGCAGAGAACCATCTATCAGAGACACGGATGCCTGTCAAGTTCTCAAGTTCTCACAAGCTGAATGTGTGAAATTTGATACACACCACCATAAATGTGGTTCTGAGTTAATATTTAATTTTTACAACTCACATTAAAATGTCGTTGCCAACAACAAAGTACAGTATTTATTAAAACATAAACCAAACAGATTGTGTTCCACTTTTGTCAATAATTGTCACACAAAAAGCTTCCAGTATACCAAAGTGCGGGTCATAAGCAGTGCTAACAACTCAAATCTGGATTTAAAAGTCAGTCTTACACCTTTTTCTTTCAAATGTGATCTTCCAGACAGGTGGCCTGAAGTGACATAGGCTGCTGTAACAAACTTAAAGGCTAAATTCCTAAAGTTTTAAAATACAACCAAAGTCTTATTACCTGAGAATTTTACTGTATCTCTGCCTGACAGAGCAGCTCCTCTATTCCTACAAACTGTAGTTTGGGATCTTATTATGCCCGCTCCTCCCTCCACCAAATGCCATTGAAAGGATCCTGAATGCAGCTAGAACATCTCTGTACTGGCAGAGTGAGTGTCAACCACTGTGATGCCATCAGGGCAATGCAGAACCGGCTACAACAAGAAGCTGCTGCACCATCCCGGCTGCACCAAACACACAAGAAATGTAGCCTAGGTAAATAATTCTCTGCTTTCCTTTGCTGTGGTGTCCAGGGAATGGGAAGATTTAAGGGTGGTAGAACCTGACAAGCAAAAGGAAGGGCTAGTTCAAATCCTGTTCAGTAGAATTAGTAAACTTAGTACCTACTTCAACGCTTAGCATTACACCAGAAAGTGTTATTTACTTTAGTATTATTATTTATTTAATTAAAAGTATGACCCTCTAGACATCAACTACAACAGTCAATGTGATACAATAAATCATAATCTCATTTGTAACCTTCCAAAAAAGTCCTTTACAACTATGATTCGGCTTAATAAGCAAGGAATTAACACTTTTCAAGAAATCCAAAGCTAGTGGGGAAAGAAAAAAAAAAAAAAAAAAAGAAAGAAAATAACAAAACCAACGGCAAACCAAAAGCCCCGGTGCCGCGCTCCGCAGCCTCTGGGGGCGATGGGCCCGAGCCCGGCGGCAGCACCGCTACACGGCGGGCGAAACACGGCCGGAGCGGGGCCGGCGGCGTGTGCCGAGGGTCACTGGAGAGCTGCTAAGGGAAAGACGGGTCTTCCAGGACTTTACCTCTCGTGGAGCCCTCGGAGCTGCCGGCGGGGGGCTCCCCGGGCTGGGCGGCGCCGGCGAAGGCCGGGAACAGCGCCATGTCTCGGCCGCCGCCCCCCGCCCGCGCTGCCGGCGGCAAGATGGCGCCGAGCGCGCTGGGAGCGGTAGTTCTTCCGCCCAGCCCCAAGATGGCGGCTGAGGGCAGGGAGGCTGGGCGGTGAGGTCGCTGCGGCCTGGCGGCTTTCTGTGGGCCTCCGCCTACCGTGCGCCCTCCTCCGCCGCACTGCGGGACTGGAGCTGAGAACTGCTGCGGGAAAAGGCGGGAGGCAGTTTCCAGAGCCAGCCCGTCCTTCCCACCGCCCTCATCCCTCACGAAGCTGTCCGGGAAGGAAGGCCCGAGCGGTGTCTCCGGAGGCTGGAATGCTCGGCTGTGTGAAAGATTGCTGGGCTGTGAGAGGCCGGGCGGCCTCTGTCGGCAGTCAGTGAGTGCCTGGAGAGCCGCTACCCTGGCAGCCTGTGTCAGCGCCCTCAGCGAGGCCACGGGGACAAATCGCCTCCTGCACCTTGGCCTCCTGACCGGGGAGTCACCCGCGTGTCTGATGGCATCCATGAGCCTGCCCTCCACAAAGGAACTGCAAAAAGAATTGTTTATGCTTTTCACTTTGTGCTTTCTTGAACAGGATGTTCCACTTCTGAATTATGTATTGTCTGAAACAGTATTTCCCTTTTTTTTCCTCTAGCCAGTGCCTGATTCTTGTATTGTGAGGAAAAAATAAGCACCCTATTCACATTTTCTGTAGAATTTTATACCCTATTAATATACTTCAGTATTCTTCTTCAACCGAAATGTTTGCCTATTTGCTTTGCTAAAGCCACTCCATAAGATTCTCCTTGTTGAATTTCTTTAGTTCTTCTAATTCTTACTAATACTAATGCATGACCAGAATTTCATGTAATGATTAAGGTGTACAGTGAGTTTAGGGATTATATGGAATTATGATGACTGGTTTGTTTTGTGCTCCTTTTCCAATGCCTTCTGATCATTCTGTTTGGCTTTTGTCTTCTCCTGAGCTCCAGTACCTGTCAAGAGACCATTTGTGATTGGCAAAAGATAACAGGTAAGTACTGTGTGTAGACTATAGAATTAGCTTCCTTGTACATACTACTTCACATCTACCATACTGATTTTTTGTCATTTTATAATTAATCTTTTAAATACTTCAGTGACCTTTCTCAGTCGGATTTCCAGTTGATTGCTGTGAATATCTTTGCACTATCTGCACACTTTGTCAACTCTACAGGTCACTGCATTTGCAGTCTTTTTTTAAGATGTTGATGACTTCATCCCGTAGAAAACTCTAAAACTATTTCTTAAGCCTTGTTACCTACCTTACATAAAATGCTATTCATCAACAGGAGATAAGTATGAAAGAACAGAGAAGAGGATTCAAAACAAAGCAGTGATCATGGACACTGATAGTCCAGAAGTCAAGTTTTTGTTCAGGTATGTTATCATCTGTGAAATTTTGCAGTAAAACATTAGAATGTAGAAAATGTAGTATGCAATATATAGAAATATGTATCCACCTATAACTCATACAGAAGATAGGGAAAATATCTAAAAGAAGCACATTACCAATTTTGAACAGAGAATTAAAAAATAATTACCTTGCCACATAAACTTAGTAGCCTTTATCTTGAGAACAGAAAAAGTATGTAATTTTGCAACCTGCAGTTGTCTTTCTGTCTGCCTGTCATAATTTCTCCAGGTAGTTTTAGAACTCATGATCAGTATCAACCAAATTTAAAAGAGGGTAACAGGTTATTACATTACTGCAAATCAAATGAGAACAGGTTGGAACTCAGAGCACGATTTTGAGTGGGAGCAAAACTCCAGTACACATGCAGTTCACACTGGGAGACTGACCTACTGAGAAAGTTGAGCCAAAACTCTTCTGTTAATGGAAATATTTCTTATAGTTATATTTGGATAGTTCCTGAAATCTGTAAATGTGTTTATTCTACATACTTCAGCAACGGGAAAACTACCATCTATCTACAGAATAATAATTATTTCTCTCTTCTCTTATGAGTCAGACTCAAAGCCCGTTCAAGCTTTTGATGCTCTAGTGCAAGATAAACTAGATTTAATAAAAAAGCATTCAGTTTATTTGCTGAATGTAATTTTTCACATTGTCTCTGAGCTGCTCACCATGATGGTAGCTAATGGTTTCTCAACAAAGAGAATACAGAAAATGTGCTTTTTGAGAGTAAAGCAAATGGCCAAAGAGAGAGTTTATAAGAATCCTAAACAGAGATTTATGCCATGTCCCTGAAAGTTAATCCATATTATGGCTAAAGGATAAGAGAAGGATACATTAACAAATTGTTATTCTTGCCATACATCTGTTACTGTGACAAAGAAAAACCACAACCAAACAAACATATTTAATCCTCCCACAAAATTGAAAGCAGTTATCTTCCATTATCACAAATGAAGTTAAACTTGTGTGAATGTTGCTTTTAGATTATTGCACAAGTAGTTACTATTTAACATTAGTAGAAGTGGGCTCTGTAGTAAAATCTCCTGCTTTGACATTTCCTTGTATTATTGAGTGAGCAGTGCCCATGCTGATGAAATGCAGTTTTCTGCAATGTATCCAGTGTATTAAATAAATTGGTTTCCTCAGTGCAGTTGAGCCACACTTTTCCTTAGGATTTACTAAAAAGCCTGACCAAAGGACTTATTTTTGTTTAGAGTAAAGAAATACTCAGCAGTTTCTTCAGTTCTATCCTAATAAAAGCAAACCATCGAGCCTTTATCAGACAAAACCACAGTAGCTGCATATTTAGCAACAAATTTCAATTACTAATGTTCTCTTCAGTTTTAATTATCTGTTATATTACTTATAGAATAAGTATTCTAGGTGATGATATTGTATAATACTGCTATTACATTTAATGTATCATATTTTCTCCTCAAAGGACCTGCTTTGCAGGTCAGTATGTTTATGCTTCCTAGAGTATTTTATACAGAGATTTTGAAAATTACATTACAAAAATGCAATTCTACTGCTTTCTTAAAATGCAATAAACAATGCCTGAATAAAATCTTAGCAGTTTAAATTATTAATAAAATAGGGCTATAAAATTACATGAGAAAGGTGCAAACATTTTTCCTTCAACAGATAAAAATAAACAGAAAATAAACATATACAAGTTGATGGATGCATTATTGCTAATATTTTCAAAAAGGCTGTCAGGCTGTCTTTCTAATGCTTTAATAAATCTGGTGGTTTATTTCCTGATCCAAGTCCTATCTGTGAAATCTTCACTTACGAAAAGCTTGCTGGGTAGATCAGTTGTTGCAGGTATATATGTGATGGACACATGCAATAAAGATAACTGGTTCAGTTCAGATATGCATTCTGATGCTATACTTCAAAAACTTAAAGGAGTTCTCTTGACTTGATTTTTTCAGGCTGCATGGTAGTGCTGGCCTTGAACTTCAAATTGAAGCCATGGTCAGACTGATCCTGTAGGCAAGTTTGAAATATGTGTACACTGTTCCATTATACAAAACAGAAACAGCAACAAAATTAATATGAAAAATCTGTATCAAAGCCATAGTCTAGACAGGTCTGTGAGGTGTTTAGACATAAACCTCAGGCTTGTAAAGTATTTTAAGTTCTGCTATGTATTCATGTATGCATCTGTGAATATAAGTCTGCATTTCTATATCATTCCAAAAAAAGTAGGGTCTCCGTATTGTTCCCAGTTCTGTGAACAAAGCACAGGAGGAGAGGAAGGAGGTATTTTTCAGACATAAGCACAGCATTTTGTTTGCTAGAATGGCACACTAGCATTTTATACAAGCTTTCTCAGGGTGAAGACTAGAGAATTTTAAGAAATCCAGAATGATTAAAACTTCCTGTACCCATACAATTTTATCCAGTTTATTTTTGCAAAGAAAAGAAGAGAGGAATTTTAGTTCTTAAAAAAATGCAAACCAAATCAACCAAACAAAAAACCCCACCCCACATCCACCCTTGTTTTTTGCCTATTTTTATATTTTGAAGCCTGTAGTTCTGTCACCTTTCTTTTTAAAACACCACAGGAATAGATCCTCCTGTAAGAAAAATGCACTTCTTTTATTCTCAAATCAAAACAAGTGTTACGTGCCATTTTGTCAGAAAACATTCAACTTACTGCATAATTTTCAGGTGACTTTGTGGCTTCATTGTGCAGCCACAGGTGAAGCTTCCAGTTACTGTAATGAGGTGGGTTTTTTGGTGCCTTGGCATCATTTGAGGAGGAGTCATATTCCTAATGAACCTTTCAAAATGCAGCCTATGAAACAGCATGCTTAAATAGTCAGTATTTTAAAAATAAATAAGCTATACCAACAGTCAGGATTTTCCATTTTTTATTGCATTTAGCAATTCTGCACTTTCCCTGAATTTAATGATTTCTTATGTAAAACCCATGCTAATTTCTCACTAGGCTTTTCCCCAAAATAAAGTTGATCTTGCCATTTATCCCTAGTCTCTAACCTTTTGTGGACATATGTCTGAAAGGAATGGTCTGAGCCACTGAGTTCAGCCTTCTCTGCAGAAAACTGCACCACACAGGTGTGTTCATATATTCCAATTCCAAATTTGTTGGGCTTTTCTACCCACAACTCCTGTAGAGAGACAGGTCCAAAACCATGATGCTCCAATGCTTAGAAAATGCTGACTTCCTCCTTAATTACATTTATGTTTGTATCCATCTGTTTCTGGGCCAGCAATTTCCTATGGCTTAAAATAGCTCTCTGCTTCATGAGGGTGCTAACCTGTAATCTATGCTCAGGCAGCAATCATATGCCACTCAGCCTTTCTGCCATTAAGCAATTAAAAAAATTTCATGCTCAGTCCACTGAATTTTTTGCACTTTTCTCTGTTCATATTCTGAACTAGAATTGTACACAGTATTCAAGACACAGTGGTACTTCTCAGTCTCTACTGGAAATGTTCTACAGCCCTGCATTTAGCATACAGTTGGCTGAATCATACTAGAGGCTCATAATGACCATAATGAATAATTATAATTGGGCATTTCCAAGCAATTGCTTCCCTTATATGAATTCCCCCTATTATACCAGAAATTCTTGTTATTAATCCCTAAGGACACTGCCTTCTCTTCTGTATTAAATTCAGCTTTACTTCCATAGATCACCTGTTTTATAGGATTGAAATTTTTGATATGGCTTATTGTGAGCAATGCCTCTGCTTTTGCCATCAGCAAGCTTAATTAGTACATCCTTATTTTTGTGTCATTGTCTTTGTTAAATAATGTTGGCCAGATGTTGGTATAAGGAGCCCCCACTGAACTCCCTCTTTGGTCACATAGTCCCCTTTCCAGCACATAGCTCTTCTCATCCCTCTTTTAGCCACTTCTTTATTTATTTCTTGTGCTATTTCCCATTTCACCTAATAATCTCACAAGTGCAACATTGTCAAATGCCTTACTGAGATAAAAATTAATTGTATCGAACAGGTTTCCATCATAAAAATTCTGCTGCCATTAAAATACACTCATGGTCTACCTTTGGTAAACTTGAACTGCATTTTATCCCATCTTCCATTCATTTCCATACTGTTCATTAATTTCAAGCTTTATTTCAAAACTTTATGTGTTGTTGTAGAGTAACAGAATAATTGCAAATATAGCAAATGTTTATAAAATAAAAGTAAGCTTGTTATATAGCACCACCACAATACCACAGGTGGATTAAAATCTCTACCACGAGCCATAAAACTTCATTCCCCAGTTTTTTCACTAGTCAGTAATGCTCCCCATCCCTTTGAATAAGCTCTCCTAGTTTAGTTTCCATCCCACAGTTCTTTTCACTTTGTGTATATTCTCTTCTGGCTTTGACTTTCCTTTCTACATCTTTGTCTGTTCTGAAAGCTGCAAAATTACTCATTAGGCTGGGGCATGCAACTAGATTAAACAAAACCTTTAGGGCTTCCCCTTCTTTATGTGCTAGTTGCAATTTGCTGCCTATATTGCTAAATAGTCTTTTTGTTTGTCTTCTACAAGACCTTGAGTCTGCACCTCCAAGACTCCAAACCATAGCTTTCTTGATTCATTCCTTTCCCTTCTCCATTCTGTACAGAGCTTTTCCTTGTTTTTCTCTGACTGTGAAGGTAGTTACTCATCCCTCTTTCATACCTGGAATGTAAATTCCTGGCATTTTTTGTATCTGTGTTAGATAAATTCCAGATCTCTGTCATGTTTAAGCCTCTGACTTATTACCTCAATTACTATGTCTAGTTTATCAATATTTGTTCTTATAGTATTAAAAAAGTTCTGTAGAACTTTGTCAAAACAGTTTTGTTTATTCTTCCATTTCATTTGGATTTTTCAGCCAGGTGGGAAAGGAGAGAGGACTGTTCTGTTTTTATTTTAAACACAACAAGTTTCCTCCCCATCTTCACTACCTATATAAATTAGTCTCAAATAGCATCAGTTTGTGCCTAGTAAATAAATAAAAAAGCTTTTGTTGTCACTTGCACAAGTACCTGAGCTGTAGTGGCATTAGCAGCCCACATTTTTCACTGTACAACTGCATTTTTTAAAGTCTTCATCCTTGCCAGAAATCTTCCTCATCCCCATGTTTTGCCAACAACTGAGCTGAGATGCCTACAGATTTTCCTTTCTCCAATCTCCATTGATGCTGCAAAAATTACATTATTTCAGCTGCCAATCAGACCATTAACTTTCCTCAGTTTTCTAGATAATTGCAATTTGTAAATAATATCACATGGATATCCATTGTTGGTATTGAAAAGTTTATTACCAGACAACTTGTATAATGCTTGAGTTGTAGGCAATGTCACCTCTCTGCCAGAATGTTGATTGCTGTCACTAGACAACTGATATGACAGGCATTGAAGCTAGTTGATAAATACAGTTTAAAAAAATCTACAATATAATGACCTGAAATCCTGCTGTCTTCAACTATTACACTCCTTTCAGCACACTGAAGATTATTAAGCCTATAAAAAACCCAACCTAATATACCTAAATTATGGATGCCATCACTAAGTCATAATACTGTATTAACTGGGACTAATCAATTATATATTTATTAAAGTTTAATCCTCTATCTTACTGGCAGTGAAAGTCCTATCATACAGACTGTGCTGATGTGCTGTTCCTTTTGACCCTAAAAGCATCAGTATGCTGCACAACTTTGAAAAGAGAATGCATAGGTAAGCTCTATAACAGCAACTGGAAATTTAATTTTCACATAGAGAAGAAAGAACATTATTTTTATGGTTCTTCCTCAAAGAACCATAGGTATGTCCTCAAAGGTATGTCTGTGCTTTTTTCATGCACTTCTTTTTCACCTTACCTGTCCCTTAGTGTTTTGCTACACCCATTAAATTGCATAAAAGCAGTTCTTTTGGCTCAGAAGGCTGGAACCTTGTTGTACATTCATTAAATGTATTAGGAGGAAAAGTAAGGATGATGGCAATTCATACCTGGTTCTTAGTGCAAGAATAAGAATAGCCTAAGACAAAATAATTTGAATGCCCATACACCTGCATCAGGGTAAAAGTGAAAATATAGATATAATTTTATATTCTGTAGTTTATTTTATACACACATACAGGAGGGGAGCAGTTTGAAATTTACAAATTCCCAAGAAAATTGATTACTTCAAAAATCTGTTAGTCTGTACCACAAACATGAATATGCCCAACTTTATCATAATGTTTGCAACCATCTTCATTCCCATGTGAGCAGGAGGTTGGACTAGAAGATATTCTGAAGGCTCTTCCAAGCTGACTCATGCTATGATCCTTTATGAATTCTCTCTCTAGAATTCTCTCTTCACAACCACTATTCCACACCCAGACATGCACAAAACCAGACAACAACCCTCTTTCAAAGAGCTCATAGCACAGATCTGTCTCCCATACATATTTATTGCCTTTTTGGTACCCAAACTCCAGATGATCATGACCACACATGACCATCTGCTCACAAATGGCCAGGCATACATTGTTCCTTTTCTTTTTCCAGACACTCAGTATTGTACACCAATCATTTATCTCACTGTCTATCCCAAATACTCCTTCTTCCCTTATTAAATGTTACATTCTTCTTTAATTCCCCACAGATTCTTCATTACTTTCTCTCAGATCATAAATTTTGTTCAGAGCTGTTGGGCTTTCATGAACCCTGAGTTCATTTTCTCAGCTGCAGCCATTATCTGAAATACTTTCTACCCATGTGAATATATGAGTTTTTTTTGGACAAAGTATTTCTCACCTATTTTCATGACTTCACTTTATGTATATGAAGTGTCATGTAAATATGGACAACTTCCAAGATGCTTCAATGACAGTTTCTTATTTCATACACTTTGCTTTGATAAACAATTCTTGTCTATTCTTTTCATTATTATCCACATTAGATATGAGCTCTTCTTTCTATAATTTAGCCTAGCAACCAGGTAACCATTATGAACTAGAAATCATATATATATATATAAAACAATACAAAAAATCAATATATAAGTAAATAGGAATTCAGATAACAATTTGCACAATTAATTAATTATTAAGAAATTATTGTTAGTGTTCATCAGTATATCCAGAACAACTTCATTAAAGTATAGCTAATCATGGTAGAGAATCTTGTTTATATTGCTGAAAGCAATATAATGCTGCAGCTGTATTTCCTAGGAATCACAACCATTGATTCCCCATATTTAGGGCTGCTCAGAGTCCTAAAATCCCAGTAACACTTAAATGGCATTCTACCAACTCTGCTATCAAAAGGGTATCAGTGAGTTTTAGAATTAAGTACTTCTGAGCTAAGCACATTGCTGTTTTAATGAAGAAAGTACACCATATGCTTAAATCAAAAACTTCTGGCACCTTCACACTGAAAGGGGAAGCTGCACTCCACCCCAAACTATGTTACGGCCCTTGGCAGAAGCACAGTAGCCTCATATGAACTGTGGAATCTCTAAACACTGTCACAGCAGCCTTCATTAGGAAGAGCTACATAAAGCAGGCTCTGCTAGGTTCATCCAAGTTCATTTATAGACACTGCACCTTCAGTTTGTGGGTTGGTATCCCTTATTTGTTAGCAAAAAATCAGGAACACTATACTAGAAAGGAAAGAGACTCCAATGTTGACATTATAGAAATTCTTGAACAGCCATAATCATTAATGGAGGCCCTGTACTAGAGTACCACTGTAGAAATATGAGCCCTGAACACTTTAAGACTTTGTCTGTAAAGTATCCTATTTTAAAATGCTAAGATCAGGGTTTTTCTTTGGCTGCTGGAAGTAATTGTTTTCTATTGCTATTCAGTAAATAACTATTTCAAAAAGGTAAATCACTAGGACTAGCAGTCACAGACAAACCCAGAGAGCAGAAGATTCAGATAATCAGCACAGTGAGTTAGTGAGTTGTCAGAAACATAGATAAGGTGAGGAGAGGTGCTTGAAGAGGCTAAGGAGGAAAGAGAGGAAAGCAGTAAGAAAGGCCAGAGTTAGAAAATGCTAATAATGTTAATTAATAGCTGTAGCCAAACAGAGTTTTCTGCTGACAGAATTTGTTCTTCTCAAGCCAAAAGAAATAGAGTATTTTCATGTGTTGTTCTTCCCTGTTGTTCAGGGATCTTCCCTGGGGTTGCCAGCTGTGTTTTGATAGTCAGATGGGGTGGGAGATTTCTCCAGCAGCAGATTCTGGAATCTTTTTTTCTTGTCAAGGAAAGAGCTTGACAGTCATCAGTTCCTTTGCTTGTCAAAAGGGAATCTGTTTGCTCCTTGTCAAAGTGCCTGCTCTGCATTTATTACCTTTGTTTGGATTTGTTTCCTTTGTGCAGTTATGTTTTCTGCACACAAGGATTCTCACCCTCTCAACAGAAAGCGCAGCTAGACCCATCAGATGGCACTCCTACAAGGGATTTCTGAGCCTCCCTCCGCCCTGTCCATTTCCCCCCTGCCAAGCAGGGTGGTGTGACAGAGGCAGCTCCAAGGACAAGTCATTTATTTCTCTGCACTGTCTGGCCCCGCCACACCCGGCTCTGGGACAGAGGGCCCCTGCAGCAACTTTATTTGTAGCCTTTCCTTCGCTGAAGTCAATGACAAAGATGGCTGGCAAATCCGAGGCTCTGTTGCTTCTCATTCCCAGCAAGCCATGAAGTGCTCAGTGGTACGTGGCTCAGTGAAGCAATCGAGTTTTCAGAGAGTGCTGTGTGTGATTTTTAATTCTTTAACCCTGCAGTTTTCTAAGCTGTGGTTCAGTACTAAACGGAAGATAATCCTGTTTTCATCTGCTGAAATAAAATAATTTTATGTATTGATGGCATTCCTAAATTATTTTATTTGCAAGGGAGAAAAATCTTCTCTCAAATCTCCAACTAACTGCCATAATTTTTTTTTAAATTATTTCACCTTCTCAAAACATGTTTGGTGATCGTGAAAGCATTGTTTTATTTGAGATTACTCCTAATTTACAATGGTATAGTTAATAGAATTAATGAAATCACAGAAATACAGCTGAACTGTGGCTACTGTTTCATGATAAAAAATGTCAGTAGTAGCTTAAAACCTTCTTAATATCCCTGTGCCCCTCAGCTGTGCCAACAAAATTGCTTGCAGTGCTTCCTAACTAAGGTTCATTAAAAAGTTGCCAGCACTGACTGGAACTGACTGGAGTTAAAAAAGAATTATTGATTGTGATAATCACTAGCACATTCAGTTGCTAGCACAAGTGCATGGCTGGCATGCCACAGGCAGAAGAGGGAACAGGAGCAGGGAAGCAGGAATACCTCATGCTGACAGTGGTGCCTGGACAGCAGCAAAAAACAGCCTGTGCTAGATCAGAACTGAGAGCAGGATTGTAACACCCATTGAGCCAATTCTCAATTATCTATGATTAGTTGATCTTCACTGCAGATTTTCTATGTCACAAATGTAAAACCAACCACCCTGCCTCCAGCATAGGTATTAGCTGAAGCCCATGACTGTACAAACATCTCTTGCAAGACTGTGCCTGGCTTGGGAACAAAGCATGCACCTTCCTGCAGAGCCAGAGATCATAAATTCTGTCAAACCAAAGTGGCCTCTGTGAAAATACAGCTGAAGTTCTTCCTCACCGTGTTCCCCGATCCAGGAGCGACAGACAGCATGCTGCAGTCACACCACATTGCTTCCCCTCAGGAGCAGCTCAAACCCAGCTGGGCTTCAGGCCAGCTGCAGGCGCCTTCATGTGGAAACGATCCCCAGCAGGCAGGATTGTGGGAGGCCTTTCAGGTCAGGTGAATACGATACACATGCACGGATCCGCTTTGGATATCTGACCCAACAAACTCTCCCACAGGCAACTGGGGAGATAGCATTGAAACATCAACAGCAACAGTCCTGGCCAGGTTCTGGAGGAAAGTATGGGAAGAATGAAAAGGCCAAAATGTCATAGGTGACACCACCAGGGAGGTATTTGCACTATCAAGTATTACTTGCAAAAGAAAATGGGAAACATTACAATTAGGAGGAGTAGGGTTGAGAAGCGTCCCATCTTTGGGTCAGCTCCAGCCCAACTGAGCTGCATGACCCTAAGGATTCAGCTGAAGTCATGAGGTGATTCTTTCTTGGTTGTTTGTTACAGTGCTAACACTGTTTACAAGCACAGTTGTTTCCTACAAACTATGATCACCTCTCAGTGTGGAAGTACGTTTTAGCTCTGGATAGCATTTTTGTAGCTGATTATTCTGTTTTATGTGTCTTGCACCATAAAAGTGCTTACCATTTTGGATTATTTTGAAAGAATATTGTTTCCCACAGAAAAGCAAGCCAACTTACAAGTGAGCACAAGTAATTTTACTTTATTGTAATCACTATCCCAGTTTAATGGATGATCAAAAATTCACAACTAATTATTTTCATACTTTGCATATATTCAGTTAAGGTGCACAACTCCATAAAAACAAGTTAGCTTCAGGACTTGCAATTCTGTGTGTCTTGCCTGCCCTCTATAAGCAATACCAAACAAAGCCAAACAAGTTGTTGGCCTGTTCTTATGTTGCAATCTTGTGGAATATTATATTCTCTAGAAGTGTCAATTCCTTTTAGCCCCCAGAGTTGCTCAGAATTCTACATCTTTAAGGGTTTTTCCATTAGGAAAAAAAATTGATGAAATGTGATATGATCCTTGATTTTAGAAATAACAGACAACTTGATTTATGGAGCACAAAGAAATTCACATGAATAGGAAGAATTTATTTGCCTGTAGTTCTCAGAGTTTTTGTAGGCAGCTGCATTCTAAAAATCTTCCTCCCAGCATTTCTGATGTCACACAGACAGGATTAGAGCAAGTTCCCAGTGACTTCTGCAGTTCTGAAATGATTTCTAAATCCTCAGAAAATCAGCTGAATCTTTGACCCTCCTATTGCCTGCACCTACACAGTACCCAGGGTGAGCACAATATTTTCTACTACCAATTATGTAAATCAAAGCTGTAATTTTTTGTTGTGGTCTCTGAATGGAAAGTGGCTCCCATGGCCCCTACTTTGAACAAAACAGTTAAACTGTCCAAAGCCCAACACAGTTTGCATGCTCTTCAGACTTAGTTTTTTCATATTGTCAAGCAGATCTCTTTGGAATTGTACAAAATCTCTTAGCTTAGCCAGATAGCACAGGTGATCCCATGTGGCCATCCACTGAAGCCAACAGAATTACTGCAGGGATGGATCTGGCAGTACAGCATGTTGAAGTGAGTTCCCTTAAGCAATAAATCAGCACAAATGTACAAATCCAACTGTGTCTGAGGGTTCTGTTTTGCAGCCATCTGTACAGGCTTTTATTGTTAAACAGAAGTAAACCAAATGTTATATTAAATGATAGTCATTGATTTATGCATGAAGGTAAAAAAAATACACACAATTATGGAAGCTGAAAATAACTAGATGAAACTGGTTTGAATTATTAAAAAACCCAGAAAACATTATGTTTCATTAAAACACTAAGGTAGACCCATCCTAAGATATGTTGACATTGCAAATTAACACCAGAATCCCAATATGACATTTTAAGACAATCTGATCTAAAAGATACAGCCAGCTGAAGGCAGTTTGCTGTATGCCAGTTTCTCAGACAAAACAAGAGAGCTGAAATGTTTCCTCTTTTGTAATGGTAATAAAATCTTGCATCATTTTTGTAGAAGAAAGAATGTGCTTGATTACTGTTTGCCAAATCAATAAGTAATTGCATGGTGAAACATATTGCTACAGAAATCCACCAAGGTCAAGAACTGAATAAATTCTAAAATGTACATGAATACCAAAGTACTTGGAGCTGTGATTGTTCACAGTAATTCTGGAAGCCTTTTAACAAGTCATGCTTCAAAGTTAAGAAAATCTTTTACTGTTAGAGTACAGTCCTTCATGGGGATGAACTGATTCCTCTTACCAGCAGCAAGTAATTCATTCAAGGTCCTCATCTTGCCATAGATGTAGAAAGATACTGACCCAGTCTGATCTCCAGTCTGATGCAGAACAGTATTTTCTACATAGCAACCTCTGAGCTTCCTATGATCTCCCTGCTGTTTTGGAGCTGAAGAAAGCAGAGTGGATGCCAATTCCAGTTAATTTTTTTTTTTGCCATTTTGCTTTATCAGTAACTACCATTTTAGGAATAAGGCACATAAATAATGACACCAATTTATAGATTTTTTTCTCAACGTAGTAACTCAACTATGTTTTAATCTCTACAGTTAGTGTTTTTTTTTTTTTTTTTTAATGCAGCTCTGAACAAAAACTTGATCCACCTTCTGCTTTCACTTGTATTTGGGCCAGATTCTGACCACTTTAATTAGAGAGACACAGCAAGGGTTTAAGCACTAAAGTGATCTCTGATTCAGACAAGATTGATAATCCCATTAATTAACAACATTATTTTGTCTTTTTTAACACTCTTTTAATTGCAAAGAAGGCCACAAGTAGAAGATACAAAAGCTGTGGAACAATCACCACTGCAGAAGTCGTTCCATGCAGTCACTAACCATTCATAGTGTGAAGTCTTCCTGTATCTCCATTCTGCTTTGGCACAGAGCAGTTTCTCTGCAACCTGGAAGCTCCTCCACCAGCTGATGGGCAGAGTTTTGCTGCTGTCCATGGAAGCTCCTCCACCAGCTGATGGGCAGAGTTTTGCTGCTGTCCAGGTTAGCACTCTTGCCTCTGCACCATCATGGCCCTCACTGTAGAAACCTAGCCAAGAGCCACCTTTTGCAAGACTCTGGGACCAAGACAAGTTCAGAAATGTGGCATGGGTAAAGTGTAGCCATATGAGGAAATGAAACCAGCTTCTTCTTCTGGAGATGAGGGAAGCAAGTTAAAACTCAGGACCTCAGTATATGGCGCATGGACACAGGTACAGAAGTGGCATAATGGTGCCACTGGTGTGGCAGATGGTGTGGAAGCATGTCCACACCATCCTGCACATCCAGCACATCAGACTGGGGACAGAAGTTTGATGCTTCCATTAGCAGTAAACGCCTGCCCCAATCCAATGGATTAATCCTGAGAGCCCCCACTCTGTATCAGTCTGTTTTGTTGTCATGGATGCTAGGATGGATAACAAAGTTTACATCCAGGAAGTCAATCACATGCTGGGACTGATCAAACCAGTACCACAATGAAAGAAGGCTCAGAGCCATAACCCCCTGCCATAAAACCTGTGAAAGAATTAAGTCAAACTGTTGGAGCAACAGAGTACTATAGAAAAAGCTCACTGTGTAACAGCCCAGTTTTAATGAACCAGACAGGATACGGCACACAACTGTTGACTGTAGGGCTTCTCAAAAAGCAGCTGGTTCTTTAACAGCCCCTGGTTTCCAGCACAGTAAATGCTCTTCTGGGGGTGGGTGTGTCAGCTACACAAGAAAGGTCTTTATGATCCTGATACAAGAGCAAGAGAAACCACAGTTTGCAATCACTCGGGGTGGAAGGCAATGTACCTTTTATCACATACCCCAATATTTTAACAGTGGCCCCATCTTTGTCTGTGCTGTGTTAGCTAAAGAGCTGGAATCAATAATCCTCCCACCAAAGTAACAATTTTACAGCACACAGATCATACTCTAACTGGAGTACATGAGAAAATGGTTCACCAAAGTATGAATGCTATCATCCAGCATTCACTGGAATTAAATATTAGTGTTCCATCAAGCACTTTCTGGAATTAAATATTAGTGTGGAATTAAATATTTTGACTTTACATAGCAGGGACTAAGTCAAGAAGTTGCAGTTTTAGGTA